GAACGATGGCGGGGGGCTTGGGATACCGGGACGGGCAGGAGAGCGACCGGGTGTCTCGTCTAGGAGAGGACCTCGTGGCCTTCAACATGGGAGACGAAAAGGAAGGGGGGAAATGGAAAGAGAGCGCCAAGGACCCGGAGGTGTGGTACAACAAGGTCGAGGACGGGGCGGCATGGTTCATGAGGAAATGGCACAGGCAGGAGGCGGAAGCGTCCGCGAAGCGCCAGCACACGAGGGGAGCAGAAGCAGAGTGTACAGCCATCTCAGGACCAAAGAGAAAGAGAGTTGGGGAACCGGCGGTGGGGGGGAAGAAACGGCGACCGGGCACTGCTGTAGAAGCGAGTAGGGCGGTCGAGGCAGCACTTGTGGCGAACTATGTACCCGGCTGATGCTGTTGCGCCCTGTTTTCCTCCCTGCTGTATGCTATACTCCTTTGTGTATGTCCTTTGTATTGCCTCCGGCCTCTGTGCTGTGTTTTTTTTTTTCATGACCTCCCTGCCTACTATGCTGTGTTGGGTACCTTGATCTCGCTTTTGCTGTTGCTTTCGTTTTTTGTACGTCTGGCTGTCTGCCCATCTGCCGCCTCTTTGTCCTGTTTGCTCTGTTACTCCCATGCCCTGGTGCGTAGTGCCTGGTGCTGGTACGTTACCCTTTGGTTTTTTCTTTAGGCGGGTGTGGGAAGCGTCCTCCTTTATTTTTGTTTTTGATTTATTTTGATCGGTTTCCGAGGGCTCTTTTCTCGAACGGTCGGTACGATGCCTATTCTTTTCTTTCTATCATTTTGTTTTCTTTTTCCGAGTGGTTTGCACCCTATTATTATTTTTTATTTTCCCGCGGCGTCGTATGTGCCGGGTTTTGAGACCACGGGCTTCCCCATTTTTTGTAGACAATAGAGCTAATTAATGTGAGAAACAACAACAACATAATAATCAAATGCGGCGAAATAACAAGTCAGACGGGTGTGTGTACGGAAAGAAGTTGTTTTTATCCCGAACTCCCAATCAACGAACAAGCTGCCGGCACACCTACTAGATCGGGAGGTGGAATAGTTTTTTGTTGAAAAACGTACCTGCAATAGGCTCATGCGTGCTGTTGGGCGTACTAGCGGGACCTCACCGCTGTTGTACGTTGTGGTTGGCGTATGTGACGCAAGAGGCTCGGGTAGAGAAACACAAAGTGATAATTATTTCACACATCGGCGTCCAAGCTGTCTTCACCTGACGGTGACAGACTTGGATACACGCTTTCACCATACTGCACCAAACCCTGCAGTAGAATAGAGTCAGTTCTGGCACACAATTCTCCCAACATTTCCCCTCAAGAACTACGTCATTCCAGCTCTGATACATGAGACACGAAATTCTCTCAATCTCAATGTCCTCTCGAAACAATACCAGTGTCCTCTCGACAATTGTGCTATCGACGTGAGTGCATGCTCTCGAACCAACTCCTAAATATGTACTCATCGATTGCATCGAAATGTTCTTCTACTTTCCAACGTTTGTTATTGTACAATAATATTCCATGCACCATCCAACCCTTGAGACATAATGTCTGATTTCGGTAATGGGGAGGTGTTTACACTCCAAGCAAGAGAAGGCGGTTCTGGAGGAACTTCACAGCTCCCTGGCTTTTAGTCAGGATGTCAGCCTTCTGCAAGTTAGTCTCGATGTACTTGACGTCGACGATTTTCTTCTCCTCTAAGTACCGAACGTGGTGATACTTGACGTCGATATGTTTAGTACGGGGCGTGAGTTTGGCGCTCTTAGCAAACGCTATAGCGCCTGTGTTGTCCTCAAACACGACCGTGGGCTGCTCCTGGTTCATGTTTAGCGACTTCAGCAAATTTCGAAAGTGGATGACAATAGTGCACGCCTTGGACAGGGCAACGGCTTCAGCCTCGAACGTTGAGATGGCCAGCACCGTTTGCTTCTTGGATATCCAGTCCACTGGGGCACCTGCGAGATAGAGGACGGCACCGGTTGTGGAGTAGCCTTTGTCTTGGTCACCTGCAAAATCAGAGTCCACGTACGCCGTGAGTTTATCTCCGCCATCGGCGTCTTCGGTGTATGTGATTCCAATAGAGGTCGTTCCTTTTAGATACCATAGTACCCGCTTCAGCTTTGTCATCGCTCTGGGACCTGGCTTCGCCATACTCTTCGCGAGCACCATCACCGAGTGTGTTATGTCCGGTCTTGAGCCCCTGCTGAGAT